ATGTAGCACTCTGCCATATATTACAGTTTACCCCTCCAGCTGAGGCACCCTCCTTCCTACCATCCCTGGATGTTGGTTCCTGTGGATTGGGTGTTTGATAGAGCCAGACCAGCCACATAAGTCCTCACATGTGTTTGGATGTTTACCCTCCTCCTACCACGGACTGGACGATAAATTCCCAGTGCCACCAAGTTTTGGACTAGATATGCACCCCATATTGCCGTCCTTCTTCCTACCGTTCACTGGATGTTGGTTCCTGGTAGATCTGGAGTTGGTTGTAGCTGGATGAGACACATGAATCCCCATATGTGTAAAATTGGTTACCCTCCTCCTATCATGGACTGGACAAAAAATTCCCAAATCTGCCAGGTTTTGGACTGAGGATTTACATCTACCTGGGCCCTCCAACTTCCTACTATCTGCCAGATGTTGGTTTCCGGTGAATCTGATGTTGGTTGTGTTGGAGGTGAGTACATGTATAGATAGGTTATTGGTACAGAAGCTCCTCTGCCCTGCCGGTATCCATTTTTGAGGTTAAAGGTAGAGGAACCCTCTTCTTACCATGAACATGATGTACAATTACAGATGCCACCAGGTGTTGGTTGAGGTTGAACTCCCCTTTACGGTCTATTGTGCTCTAACCATAGGGTCTAATTTTTGTGTGTAATTTTCTTTGGGCTTCTCCTTTGTTTCCACCCTTTGGTTACACATTACTAATGGGAAAAAAGAGTATACCTGGTTCAGAAGTGTTGCGGTCTCCCACTGATGTGTTTTATTAGTTCCTTCTCACACTCCATGGTTTTCCTTTAGGCATTTCCTAAAGAGGGATAATCTTCTCACTGGCTCTCCTCCTGTTCAATGTGGGATTCTAGGTTTTTGTAAGCAGAGGTAGGAATTTTACATCGGATGTTAACATTTTCTGAAACTGAAAATATATTTCCGATAGATATTTATGTCCCCTCACATTTCCCACCAGTCCTACCACTTCTGGTGTGGTTTGGTGTTATCTGACCAAATCTCAAAGTGGTTAACAGCTGCAAGATTAGAGAAGACACTAGTTTCAGTAGGGGTAGTGTTGCACTCCTATTGGTAGAGGGTTGCTGTATAATCATTTGCGTGTTAGTATGCAGAGATAAGTGGGAGTATCAAGGCTAGTGACGAGCAAAAATTTCTGTAGATAGACGGCAGTATAAGTCAAGAAATCTTTTTGTGAATGGAAGTAAGTATTTATCGGAAATACATTTTCAGTGTAAGAAAATGTTAACGTGTTGCTTTTCTTATGTTTACAAAACTGTCAAATAGGCTTCCTTATGTGAAATAGGAGTGTTGATTTTCTAATTTCATGAAACTGTCCAATATCACCGAGTATTTACATTTTTTTTCAAGAAAAGTATGGAGAAATGAAATGATATTTCATTAATGGAGGAATAAATAAATGGGAAGTAGCGAATAATTTCTGATAAATTTAGATGATATTGATAAGTATTGTCACAATAAAAAATGAAAAAACAAACAGAAATACAGAGAAATGGGTAAATATCAGTGTAAGGGTAAAAACAATTCAACTAATTTTCTTTTCCAAAATAATGAAGTTTGTTTTTCTGTAGCGTTGACCATGTAATTCCTTTTTCTTTCCACAAATAACTTCATGTTTTATGGGGTTTTTTCCCCGTCTGGTGGCTCGTATGTATTGTGTGCATTCTTATGTTGGTCGTGTTTAAATTTTATGATCAACTTCTAAATATGTTTTAAAAGTTTTGCTGTATATATAGAACAGTATTTAATTTATGTTATTTTCTTCTAATATAAGATGTATTCATCTTTGTAATTAAAAAAAATATATTTCATGAACCAACTTTTCATTTAGAACTCGTTAATGTAAATCATTTTAACATTAAAGTTTTGATCTCTATGATTATGATGATAGTTATCAGTCCTATGATATGTGTCCTTGTAATTTTGTTTCTTTAACCCTAGAATGCCAGAGTGGGGTCATACAAGTTAAACTTGTATACTAAGCTAACTTCACTATCATTCTAGGGTTAAAGAATCCTTAATGAAAGAAAGTCGCTATCAATCTAGTTGATCAGGTTATTAAAAAACAAAATGGACCCTAATCTATGATTTGATTCATCAATTTTCACTGAATTTATTAGGGATTTGGGGAATTTCACCTCTCATCGGTAACCTTGGATAAAGGCAAATCGTAAGAATAAGACAGGCTTTGTATTGTAGTGGAGTGTATTTTTAAGTATATTTTATTCACTGCAGTTTGTCTCTACTTATACAGGATTTGAAGAATATGAACACTGATACTACTAACTTATTTTTCTGAATCATTCAGGAAACAAGCTGTTTAAAATATTAAAATAAATATGAAGTCCAGTCTACCATTAGGCTCTAATACTGTTCCCTGTATTTTTACAGTTCATGATGAACTCAAAACTCCCTCTGGAAACATTAGGAAAAGTAAGTGTTGATTAATTCGCTGTGATCATGATGCCTAACAAGAAGTAGGATTAAAAAATGTATAAGAATTGTTAATGAAAAGCAATGAAACTTAGAGCTTTCAAAAGGTGGACTTGTCAGGAGTTTTATCATTGTTTTAATGTACTATTCTGAATGGTTATTTAAAACCAGAGTTAATAGTTGAATTCTTTGCAGATAGTATATATATATAAATAGGGTTATAATATGGACAAGTTGTTCAGCAGCTACTTTACACGTTAAATTATTAGGAACTCTACATATTTTCCCTCTTTCTTACACAATATCAAGATCGTTGTGTGGATTCTTGCTTCTCTAGGCATGAATATTAGAAGAAAAAAATCTTTATGTTAAGTAAACTTACCTTTTATTTTCAAAGAATCATTTATTATAATGTGCTGGGAAGTTTTTTTTTATTTAAAACGTTTTTTTTTCCTTAAGTTGTGAGTTGTATTTTTATTTTATGATTGTTGTAGACTTGTTTTTTGTGATTGTTTGGAAAATTAAATATGAAACAATCTTGAATCCATAATTTTTTTGTTCTTTCATATCCTGTAATGTAGAGCTCTTTTGTCTTTTATTTTTTCTCACATCTTGTATTGTAAAGCTTTCTTGACTGTGATTTTCTTTCATATACTGTAATGTAGAGATTTCTTGACTTTTATTTATTTTTTAATATCCTGTAGTGTGAAACTTTCTTGACTTTTACTTTTTCATACCCTGTAATGTAAAGCTTTCTTGACTTTTTTTTGTCATACCCTGTAATGTAAAGCTTTCTTGACTTTTTTTTTCATGTTCTGTAATGCAAAGCTTTCTTGACTTTTTTTTTCCTATTCTGTAATGCAAAGCTTTCTTGGCTTTTATTTCTTCATATCCTGTAATGTAAAGCTTTCTTGACTTTTTTTTTCATATCCTGTAATGTAAAGCTTTCTTGGCTTTTATTTCTTCATATCCTGTAATGTAAAGCTTTCTTGACTTTTTTTTTTCATATCCTGTAATGTAAAGCTTTCTTGACTTATTTTTTCATATCCTGTAATGTAAATCTTTCTTGACTTTTATTTTTTATATATCCTGTAATGTAAAGGTTTCTTGACTTTTATTTTTTTTTCATATCCTGTAATGTAAAGCTTTCTTGACTTTATTTTTTCATATCCTGTAATGTAAATCTTTCTTGACTTTTATTTTATCATATCCTGTAATATAAAGCTTTCTTGACTTTTATTTCTTCATATCCTGTGATGTAAAGCTTTCTTGACTTTTATTTTTTCATATCCTGTAATGTAAAGCTTTCTTGACTTTTATTTTTTCATATCCTGTAATGTAAAGCTTTCTTGACTTTTATTTTTTCATATCCTGTAATATAAAGCTTTCTTGACTTTTATTTATTTTTTCATATCCTGTAATGTAAAACTTTCTGGACTTTTTACACAAAGTTTTTTAATTGTTTGTGCACTAATTGCTTGTGGGTCCATGACTTTTTTTTGGTTACGATGTTTCTGATAGTATACATATCACACTAAAAAATGACAACAATAATCTATCAGATAAGTACTTTACATATGGAATGGGTAATTTCACCCAATATTTTTAATCAGTTCTTTACAGTAAGTGTTGTTTGTGCAAGTACAAACATAACATTATTCATACTCATGTAAAGTTTGGACCCAGTATAAAAACAAATTGTTATTAAGTGCTGAAATTTTTTTTTGCAGATATGGAACTTAAGTGATATAGATCAAGATGGCTTTTTAGATAAAGATGAATTTGTCGTAGTAAGTGTCTTTTATGTAATTTAATTTATATTATTTTGAAAGTTCAACATTTAAATAATCTGTATACTTTTTATAACTTGTTTTTCAAATCACACTCATTGGTAATCTGAAGGCTTATAATGGTAAAAACCAGGTTTCAATAGGCTTGTAATGGTAAAAACCAGGTTTCAGTAGGCTTGTAAGGGTAAAAACCAGGTTTCAATAGGCTTGTAATGGTAAAAACCAGGTTTCAATAGGCTTGTAATGGTAAAAACCAGGTTTCAATAGGCTTGTAATGGTAAAAACCAGGTTTCAATAGGCCTGTAATGGTAAAAACCTGGTTTCAATAGGCTTGTAATGGTAAAAACCAGGTTTCAATAGGCTTATAATGGTAAAAACCAGGTTTCAATAGGCTTATAATGGTAAAAACCAGGTTTCAATAGGCTTGTAAAGGTAAAAACCAGGTTTCAGTAGGCTTGTAAGGGTAAAAACCAGGTTTCAGTAGGCTTGTAAGGGTAAAAACCAGGTTTCAATACACATGATAGGCACAACACAGATATCCCATTGTGTAGCTTTGCACTTAACAAATAAAAAAAAATATTTTTGGAAGTTAGAAGGAATAATAAAAGTGTAGATTAGAAAACTAAGTTAACTGATATATTCGTGCATTTCTTAACAAGTATGGAAAATGTTTTTTATTTTTCAAAATACTAAAATGTTGCTTGCATTGAAATGAGTATGGACTCAATAAAAAATTTTTGTTTACAGACAGTATGATTCATAGGAATTTGGAGATTAGATCTTAAGCAAGTGATAACAGAGAGGAACAACTAATGTATTTTAGGCCAATTATTAGTGGTCTGTGTTCCAGTGGATTAGAAATAAATCATGTACATTTCTATAAGCTTATGTAGGAAGAGATGGTAGCACTCAGGATTGGGATGTATGGAAGTTGTTATCTTGTTTAAAGGACTACTAAGAGCTCTTTGAATCGGTAATTGAACACCAGGAACTTTGAAAAGTTTACTGCATTGTTACTTGTATCAAGTAAAGACCCGTTTCTAATTCTTAGAAATAAGGGTTAGGAACTGAGATATTTTCATTTCTGATGGAACAAATCAAAGGCAGTGGGCTTCTAGCCTGCTTATTAAGGTGTGTCTGACAAATGTGTAGGCAGTTAATATATTACTTGAATTACTCAAGAAAAGAAGGTTACGTTTCTCATGTTTTGATAAAAATATTGTCTGAGTTTGTGATTTATTTTAGGTAATGCATTTAGTGTACAAAGCTCTAGAAAATATTCCAGTCCCACCAACCCTACCTCCAGATCTGATACCTCATTCAAAAAGGCAGAAATCACTTTATGGAGACATTCAGTTACCAGCTTTACCTGATCTTTGTGGTGCACTCTCTAACAGCACACCAATAACAGATGTTACTCTCAAAAATGTGAGTTATAAGGTAGTTTTGTTTATAAATAAAGTCATCGACAGCTGAGTGTGTCATTTCTTAGTGGGTTTGGAGGTATTGCTCATTAAAAGTGCTGTAAACTAATTTAGAGATGAGGAAAATTTTTTATTTTCTTAAATTCTTAGTGTGACAAATAATTCATATGTTTTTCAGTGTTTCAATTGGCTCTTCAATTCAATGAGTGTTTCTGATTTTTGTTTTTTCAATGACTTTAGGACTTCATATCAAAGTGCAGTTGGAAATGTAAGGGTTAACAATATAATGTTGTTTTTTACTTAAGTTTTGTAATGACCAAACACGATATAAACCTTTAATTAGAATAAGCATTTTGTATCTTAATCTAATGTTATAATATTCATAAACATTACTTTTAAAATTAAACATTTAACTATCAGTATTTTACATTTGTGTTCAGAAAGTATGTTCTTAAATAATCGTATTGTTTACCAAAATTCTTGTCAGGCCTTAAATAATCCAGTAGCTCCGTGGGTTGTCAGTGTTTCAGAGAAGGTAAAATACAATGAAATATTTCAATCCTTGGATCAGGACTATGATGGTTATGTTATGGGAGGAGATGTAAAAGGTGTCTTTCTTCAATCTGGTCTTCCACAGACTCAACTGGCTCGTATCTGGTTAGTATATATGCCTTATCATATAGAGCATTAAAAATCATAGGCAGTACTCATAAAAAAAAGGCAATAGGGTCAGTGCTACCGTTAGCTAATGTGTGTTTTTTAGAGTACTTAGAATTCTGTGTAGTTGATCTTTGTTCATCTTTCTTCTTGTTAATTTGAACAAATATAATTGACAAATTCACCAGAGCAGGGCACTTGTGTAGTCTTTCAAACTTGTTCATATGAATATATTAGGTTTAGCGTTTGTTGTTAGTCTTAGTAATATGAGTATATTAGGTTTAGTGTTTGTTGTTAGTCTTAGTAATATGAGTATATTAGGTTTAGCATTTGTTGTTAGTCTTAGTTTCATAATTTTGTATGAAACAGTTATGCATAGACTTGCTGTTATTATGAATAACTACTGTAGATATTATGTGTTTGTTTGATTAAAAAACATTTCATAAGATCAAATAAACAGAACAGTTTTCCTTACTTAATGTTCTAGTGAATGTAATTTTTTTTATCTTCCATTGTTTCTTAGATTTTAAAATATTTTTATTTTATCAATGCCTTTCAGGAATCTCTGTGACCTAAGTGGTTCAGGAAAGCTGAATTCTGAACAGTTTGCTTTAGCTATGCATATTATATACGAAACTCTGCAAGGTGGAGAAATTCCGACCGAGTTAAAACCTGACATGGTACCACCATCTCTTCGGTCACAACCTGTGAGTTAAAAGTTGTATAATGTTTTTACATCCTTACATATGTTCTTTTTGGTGATCTCTGTTTGTTAAGTTTCACTTTCTGTATCTACCACTCAATTACATCTAATACTGTTGGACTAACATTTAATATTTCCACCATCATTACATTAGAACCTGGAAGGTCTCATCTAATACTGTTGGACTAACATTTGATATTTCCACCATCATTACATTAGAACCTGGAAAGTCTCATCTAATACTGTTGGACTAACATTTAATATTTCCACCATCATTACATGAGAACCTGGAAGGTCACATCTAATACAGATTAAGCATTTTATTATACGCCACTGTTTGCTTATATGTTTGGGTAATATTATTGTGCTTTTCATTATCAGTGAAGTCAACATTTGTTTTTAGTTTCACAACTTCTGTTTGTTACTACAGTTGAATATTTTAAACTGTATCCTAGTTTTATGTGTTCCAATTGAACTGAAATATCACCATTGCTCCATCATGTTAGAATGTCATCTAAATAATGTACAACTGTTTAACATGCTTAGTTTAGTTCTAAATACTTATCTAAAGGTGTGTTATTTAGGTTTAAGAGTTAAGTAATAATATGTTTTTGTTCTATCAACAACACAGTTGACCTTGTGTTTATTTAAAGTGAAAAATTCGGTGTTTGAGAACATCAGAAATTCTTGTCCACTGACAAATAACTAACAGTTAGCCTCATCAACAGGATGGTCTTATGGCCTCAACAGGAGAAACATTCCAGTCAACAGGCACTAAAGAGCTAAACACCCTAACAGATGAAGTAAAAGAACTACAGAAGTAATTAGGTTCTCATGAAAACAATGTAGGATTTAGATACACTAATCTAGCATTGTTTTAAAAGTATTGTAGAGTTTTGAAGAGTGTGATATAATATTCTATTAATATTGAAGGATTTTAAGATAGTCTGATCTAGTATTCTATTAATAATGAAGGATTTTAAGATAGTGTGATCTAGTATTCTACTAATATTGTTATGTATGTGCTTGTTTGTTTGTTTCCGGTAGAAATTCTTTCTGAGGATCTTCAGCGATACAAGTCCTTTCTTGATTAAACCAGTTTATTCTTCCTCGATACAAACTTTTGGTACACAGTAGTCCCACAATCAGTACGTTTCTCGTCACTTTAAACTTAACAACTTTTATAACACACACTATAAATCACAGCATTTCACAATCTCGATAACTTCGCTCTCGACGAGTGCAAAATGCACACTTTATGGCTTACTAGCTCAAAACTAACAGATTCAGAAATTACATGGAACTCAAAGTAGCTACTGCTCTCTCTTCATTAACCCTGCTGGCTTTCTCTGGCAGGCTTGTATACTAATGAACTAATGGACTTCCCTGATCAATCGAGAAACATCACACACGCTACCAGTGCCAAATGCGCCAGCAGCGTCACGTGACTTCCACTGTTGTAACAATATTGAAGGATTTTAAGATAGTGTGATCTAGTATTCAATTAATAATGAAGGAGTTTAAGATAGTCTGATCTAGTATTCAATTAATAATGAAGGAGTTTAAGATAGTCTGATCTAGTATTCAATTAATTTTGAACGATTTTAAGATAGTGTGATCTAGTATTCAATTAATGTTGAAGGTTTTTAAGGTAGTGTGATCTAATATTCTATTAATAATGAAGAATTTTAAGATAGTCTGATCTAGTATTCAATTAATGTTGAAGGATTTTAAGATAGTGTGATCTAGTATTATATTAATAATGAAGGATTTTAAGATAATGTGATCTAGTATTCTATTAATAATGAAGGATTTTAAGATAATGTGATCTAGTATTCTATTAATAATGAAGGATTTTAAGATAGTGTGATCTAGTATTCTATTAATAATGAAGGATTTTAAGATAGTCTGATCTAGTATTCTATTAATATTGAAGGATTTTAAGATAGTGTGATCTAGTATTCTGTTGATGGTTTTGTATATTAAGAGAGAGTATCTAGTATTGTATCGATAGTGTAGGGTTCAGAGACTGTGATCTAGTATTCTGTTGATGGTTTTGTATATTAAGAGAGAGTATCTAGTATTGTATCGATAGTGTAGGGTTCAGAGACTGTGATCTAGTATTCTGTTGATGGTTTTGTATATTAAGAGAGAGTATCTAGTATTGTATCGATAGTGTAGGGTTCAGAGACTGTGATCTAGTATTCTGTTGATGGTTTTGTATTTTAAGAGAGAGTATCTAGTATTGTATTGATAGTGTAGGGTTCAGAGACTGTGATCTAGTATTCTGTTGATGGTTTTGTATTTTCTGATCCAGATAAAATATGAAAAGCTTC